ATAAGTGTATATAAGTAACCATTCAAAAACATAGTCATTGTTTAGACTGTTCCTATTAGCACTGCAGAGCCAACAAAGGCATGGAAGAGTGAGTTGGGCTCTAGTCTTGCTTGGGTATCATAAATAGAACTATTAACTAACTTCCAAAAGCCGGGCCACATTCTTCCCTCACTTACACTTGAGCAACTCCACTAAAGACAATGCGGTGCACATTTTTAACTGTAATGGGGGTAGAGTTGGCTACAGATTATTTTTCTAAACTGGTGACAATGCACAAGCCAAAAACTTCAGCTAAATTTCTATATCCCAGGCTGAGTTTGTACGGCTGGCAACTAGGGAGAAAAAAGATTTTACCTGTACAATGAGCAAACTCCATGAAAATCACTGACGAAGTAAGTATGGACAACAACAACAAATGTCCCAGTCTTTCTTCCCCCCTCCCACCTTTTAGAAGTAATTTTTTAGAACAGATATTCACTAGTGACATACACAAATATTTGAACACTTAAAGACACTGTCTCTAGAAGGTGTAATGACAAACAAGGGGGGAAATACAGAACCAAATAATAGATCACAATGTTTCAACATTAGTTTTCACAAATGAATAAAATCCAAAAGAAGTCTAGAACAAATTTTAACTCTAAGTTTTTTTGCTAATTTTTTCTCTAATGTGACTAAACACTTGAAAAAATTTTAGATGCCAGAAAATGAACATAAGTGGCAACAGACTCCATACCTTGCTCCAAGAAGACCTGCCAAGAACACCAGGGAGTCTCTCTCTGCACCAGTAAACTGGCTGAAAGACAGCACACAGTCTTCCAGAGGACTGCTTCCTTCCATTACTGATACTGGGGTGAAAAGTGGGTTGGACTGAGGGTTTAAAAGGAGCTGCTGTTCTACACACATAATCTTAAAAATGATGAAATAAATGAAAATGAGAACCAAGCCAAGAGAAATGAATTTGATAAACATTATTTCAGACATTGTACTACAGCATTTATGGAATCAACAGCAAGACATTCTTTGTCTTTGTGCCTCAAGTTCAAAGTAGAACATGTATTATTCTATATGTGATCAGATACATTCCTTAAAAGATCCAGAAAGTTTCAGTTAAATTCACATTAAGATTCAAGCTTCCTGAATTCCTATTTTTCCAACAATGATTACTGCTTTAAAACATTTTAAAACCCAATATAAGGGTTAGCATAGGTTTTATTTCACAGTTAATTATCTAATAATGAAAAACACCAAATTAGTCCAGGTGATAAGAATTATCTAGGTCAACATATGTAAATGTTTGACCATCTGACCTATAATGTCAGCCTGCAATTGCATCACCCAGATACAGCTACATATGTTATTAGAGAAATATGGGGAAGTGTGGGGCAAGAGAAAAAAAGACAGCTTACTATCAGATGTTAAAACAGAAATGTCACTCATAACTTAACTGCACCCAGCTCTCTCTTCATAACTCTATTATGCAGACAACTAGAGCAGAATCTTGTGTACAAAGTCTTTGTGCCACTAAGTCAGAATCTGATTTAATAAAGCAGGAAGAAATAAAGGAGACAGATAAAAGACATGCCTATAAAGAAGAGGTGCATTAAAGCACTCTCTTAATTTGGTGTACACTAATTAAACAAAGCTAAAACCTCTGTTCTAATGCAAATATAACCATCAATAAGTTTTCAGTTTCTAGATTTCTAACACTAACATTTGTTTGGTCATAGCACTACAGTATCCCCTTACCAGCCATGTGTTTGTAACAACATCTCCTACAGTTGACTCCACCTTGCATCCCAGTAAAGGAACCACAGCATAGTCTGCAATTGCTCTGTTTTGAGGAGGTAGAACTTTCCCAGCATTCTCCTTTATAACTTCTACAATGCAGGACTCATCCTCTTCACCAAAACCCAAAAGAAGGAACCTCTTTCTGCCGAATAAGCCTTCTTCAACCACTGCAGAAGTCTGTGTCAGTGAACTATGACAGATCGAGGACTGCTTCTCTTCTTGAATGGTAATATGAGCAGCATCACTGAAGTGACCAGTTTCTAGCTTTTCAACTTCAACTAAAAAAGAAAAAATAACCACTTGATGAAAATTTCACATACAGGGATGTAAGGGAGAAAATGAGTTTCAACCATCTTGTTAGTTATTAATTGAAAACAATGTAGTACTGGAACCCAAGGTTTTAGATTTCATTTACAAGCTGTTCAATATGAGGCATGTTTACATCTAATTTATATTGTTTTCTTAAGTACAATAGGGAAATTAATATAGAAACCATGTGAAAGTTTAAAAAATGTACATGCTACGGAGTATGAATTGCAATTTCTTTACATATGATTAAAATCAGGTAACTACATTTTTTTTATGTTCATCTTTGTAGATAGCACCACAGGCTTTTCATAAGAGCTACACATAAATTTTGTCTTTTTATGAACTTACTTAATGTGGAATCATTATTCACATATTGAGAGAGGAGGTCATCTTCATCTGCTTTCTGGTGCTGTACAAGCTTCACAGCTTCTTTTTTTGTGAGACTATTACTTTTGGGAACAGTTCGCTTAATTCCAGGTTGCTCCAAAATTGTATTTTCTATTGGCTGGTAGTTCAGAGGGATATACTGCTCCACTGGAAGTAAGTAACCCTTACCAAAGCACTCCAGCAACCATTTTGCTGTCACTGCATGAGGCCTATAAAATAAAATTATTTTTTACATTACAAACCAACAAACAAACACACACACACACACACACACACACACACACACACACACACACACACACACT